TAGCATGCATCCTCTTCTCCAATCCTTGATCAGAAGATGAACTTTGCTAGTGGATGCTCCTCTTAAAACTGTTCTGATGCTGGTCGGCCTGCTAAGGTGAATACAGAAGTTGCTAATTAGATCTCAGGGAGGCCTCCAAACTGAGAGGATGCAACACATTGATCAACCAAAGCAGACCCTTCTGTGACTTCTTCCTGGTTCTTTCCCCATATTTTTTTAAATCATCAGAAAAGCTGCTCTACTTCTTGCCAGTCCACTGCCCACATGTTGCTATCTCTGAGGCAAGGAATCATTTTTAATTGGTTTGTTTACTTCTTAGTTGCACTCCATAGAGGCAGAGGTTCACTTGTATTTGGCTCCGCTGCTTTCTATTGCTCAGTCAGACAATGATTAGTCACATTGGAGTGGAACCAGTTTTACAGTTACCATCTACCAACAAATATAATTCACTTATTTCTAACTATGATCCAAATTTAAACCTAGTCAGGATTTATCAAAGAGATAAACGGGAGCATAGGATAAAAGAGACCATGATGATCTGTTTCTTGTTCCAAAGTAAAGACTTTAATTGCATGCAAGAGAATCCTCCAAGCCCGGCCTCCCCCCCCCCCCCACTCCCCCCCCCCCCCCCCACCCCGGCCAACCCTCCCAGAAAGTGATGATCTTCTACCTCAAATAGAGTCAACAGGACAGACTGGCCTAATTTAAGCCAACAGAATTAACCAGAGTGGGTGTTTATTTCCTTTGTATCTTAGTCCTGATTTTTTTTAAAAAAATCTTTTAAAATTATCTTTAAATAGTTGTACAAAGGAGGTGCCATTTAACAAAGCAGTTTATGGATACAGTGCATCTTGATCAGTGTCACCTCCTTCAACATTCTCAATCCTCTTCAATCTCTACCCCTTCCTTTATTAAATTGAATATGTTTTATTGTTATTATATAAAGGTGATGTAGAGAGGGGTTACAGTTACATGTCAGGTAGTGAGTACATTTCTTTTTGGACAATGTCACCCTGGCCTTGGCTCTCTCCCAAATTTTCCCTCCTGTCCCCACCCACAAGTTGTGTAGTTCATTTTCAACATAGGGCCTACTGAGTGCCACTATTTTTCTTAATTTTGGGGTATACACAATGAATTCTTGACTGCTATTTCAAGTCCATTTTGGAAAGAGGAAGCTTTCATTATAAATGAAATAGCAAGATTGTCTCATCCGCCTGCTCAGCACCTTGCCTCTGGTGCCAATGTTCTGCGGTGGAGATTCCCCTACCCACCCACCCTCTTGCTCTCCCCTCTCTCCTCTTTCTCCCTCTCCCTCTCACTCTCCCTCCCTCTCTCTCCTCTCTCTCTCTAACTCCCTCTCTCTCCCCTCTCCTCTTTCCCTATTCCTCTCCCTCCCTCTCTCCCCCTCTATTCCACCCTCCCTCTCCCTCTCTCTCTCTCTCATTCTCTCTCCTTCTCTCTCTCCCCTCTCTCCCTCTCCCTTTTTTTCTCTCTCCTTTCTCTCCCTCTCCTCCCTCTTCCTCTCCCTCTCCCTCCCTCCACCCCCCTCTTTCCTCTCCTTCCCCACCACCCCCTCTTCCCCCTACTAGTCAAAGCATTGAGCACCCATGAACTACTATCCCCTTCTTTTTAAACATGATTTCTGGTGAGGTTAGGAGTATGTAGGTAAAAGACATTGGCACTGTTTGTTTCTGGCTGTGTGTCTTTAGACCAATAACTAAACTTTACTTCACCCAATATGTTAATGGCCTTGAAACAAAGTACCTAGTTGTTGTTTGTTCTCTGTTTGGTTCTTTTGCCAGTTTTAAGGCTTGAACTCAGGACCTCTTGCTCTCACTTGGCTTTCTTGTGCATAGCTGGTGTTCTAACACTGGAGCAGTGCTTGCAGTCTCCCTTTATCTCCTTTTCCTTCTTTAAAAATCACTTTTTTCTTCAAATGCTTTCAAGTACCAGAATTCAAGCCCAATGAGTTATTCTTACTTGGAGAGTTGTTTCAGAGGTTGTAACATGTGAGGAGATTAATATAATTCTGGAATTACATATTCATTTATGTATTTGAGAGTATTACATATCACTTTTCATTTTGCCCTTTTCTTAGAAAGGCACAGTATTTCAGTTAGGATGTGCATTGCTGTGGGCTTACTTTGAGGGTGTTCCATTTTTCTTCCTACAAAAGTTATACATTGAGTGTAGGTCTGCACAAGGACACTTCCCTGCCTCTTGGCTAAGTTTCTGCCCAGTATCTGTTACCTAGGTAACTGGCAGACCTGGAAGCAGTCACCTTCCCCTCCTGCTAGGTCACATCCTGTGCTACTTCTGGTCACATGCCTCCCATGTGACCTTAGGAGGGTCCCAGACCCTGAGGTCACATCCGGATCCAGTGTGGCCACACCTTTCCCCCGCCTGGCCACACCTCTTCCTGTCCCTGGCCTAGATAAGTCCTGGCCTAGATAAGTCCTGGCCCTGGGGTGCGTTGTCCCTTTTCCTTTTTCAGCCATGCCTCTCCACCATGCACAGCAGGGGCAGCAGTTTGGTAAATAAACTTCTTTTCCTGCCTGAATAGCTTATGGTGTTCTCTTCATCAGCTACCTAATGAAACCTACCTATTTAATATACCTAACATTGAGTACTGGCAAAGTCATGAGTAGTGAGCTGCTTTGTATTTACAGCATTAGGTTCACATCCCAAATCACATCACTCATAAAGAAGCTTTTGGAAAGCTGGGTGCCAATGGCTCATGCCTGTAATTCTAGCTACTCAGGAGGCTGAGATCTGAGGATCGTGTTTCCAAGAAAGCCTGGACAGGAAAGTCCATGAGACTCTCATCTCTAATAAACTATTCAGAAAAGGCCAGAAGTGGCACTGTGGTCCAAGCAAAGGAAGCACCTAGGCCCCGAGTTCAAGCTCAAGTACCAGGATGGACAACGAGAAAGACTGGGGAGCGGGGGAAGGAAGGAAGGAAGGAAGGAAGGAAGGAAGGAAGGAAGGAAGGAAGGAAGGAAGGAAGGAAGGAAGGAAGGAAGGAAGAAAGGAAGGAAGGAAAGAAGGGAGGGAGGGAGGGAGGGAGGGAGGGAGGGAGGGAGGGAAAAAAGAAGCTCTTTTGGAATACTATGTCTTACAAGTCAAGTATCTCTTACAAAGCTCCACCATTGGCATAGTAATCTGTGCGTTCAGTCTTTCTCACCATTCTGTTTTTCATAGTCTAATAAAAAAAATCACTTGTTTGTCATTGTACAAGCTTTGAGTCATTGCTGGCTGTGTGGAAGAAGTGGCCCTTCTCTAAGTGTGATCTACAAACCAGCCACAGAGCTCCAAGTTCTTCAAGTCCTGCAACTAATACATTGCTTTTCACATAAAAATGGTCACACAAACCATTACACACCTATTAGAATGGCTCCCCAGCAGTCTTGCAGCTCAGTGGTACAGCACATGTGTAAGGCCCTAGATTTGATGCCCAGTACTTCCCACAAAGAAAGAATGACTCAAGAAAAGGTATAGTTCAATTTCAATACAATTGGCATTTATGATAACTATTTAAATCCCCAACATCTCTTTGTACATATTTAACATTTCTTTCTGAATCACCCACTCAAAACGAAAGGTAGCAGCTGGCCCAGGCATGTACTCATTGATAGAACTGTTGCCTACCAGATGTAAGAATGTGGATTTGATCTCTCATACTGGCGGGAGAACAAAAGGAATGACTAAACCTAAAATAATGATAACATCAAGTGCTGGGAAAGATAGCAAACAACAGTTCTCAGGCATTGTGAGAATGAAAAATGGCAAATTCCTTACAGACTATTCCTATACTTTCTGTATAATTCAGTTATTACTCCTTGATGCATGTCCAAATGATTGAAAACTTAATAGGCATACAAAAACAAACACATGGAAATTTATAGCAGCTTTATTTATAACTGCCAAAATTTCAATGCAAATCATGATATCCATTTGGATGGATGAGTAGACCATGCTGTATCTAAATAATGAAATACGATTTAACACTAAAAAAGAAACTGGCTTCTAAGCCAAGATCAGATATAAAGAAACTTTAAATGTTTATCACTGAGTGAAAGAAAGCCATCTGAGAAGGCAGCATATTATCTGCTTCCAAATATGTGACTTCTACAAAAGCGAAAATTGCTGAGACAATAAAAAGATTAGTGCCTGCCAGGGGTACAGAGACAAGGAGGCAAAATAAGCAGAACACAGAGACATTTAACACCACTCTGAAAAGCACTACAGGGGTGGATAATTATCATTGTGCATCTGTCAATAACCACAGAATATGCAGCAGCAAGAGTGAATTGGACTTTGGGTAATCATGTGATAACGTAGATTCATCAACTGTACCAAAAGTACCACTGCAGCACACAGATTGTGTGTGTGTGTGTGTGTGTGTGTGTGTGTGTGTGTGTGTGTGCTCACATGTGCGTACATGTGCCATTCCTGGGGCTTGAACTTAGTGCCTGGTAGTTGTCCCTGCACTTTATTTTAAAAGCTCAAGGCTTAGCACTTTAGTTCTTGAACCACAGCTCAACTTACAACATGTTGGTGGTAAATTGGAGTTGGGAGTCTCACAGACTTTCCTGATTGCGCTGGCTTTGAACCAAGATCCTCAAATTTCAGCCTCTTGAGTAACTAGGATTACAGGTGTGAACCACTGGCATCAACTTTTATAAGATTGTTTTTATGTGGAACAAATCCTACTAATTATTTTGATGAAAAGACTCTAGGTATAGCTGGAAGGGCCTTTAAAGTTTTACTTAACCCAATCCTTCCTTCCTTCTCTCTTCCCTTTCTTCCTTACTAAAATATTTTCAAGCATATTTTGGATAATGTGCCCTGTGCCCACTTCTACCTGACCTTGCCCACTTACCTGTCTCCATCTGCCAGGAGACAACAAAAGCTTCTTCTCTAGAATTTCCTAGCCAGAGTCACTGTCTTGCCACAGTTCAGATAAAAATAATGCTAGTATTTCTCGTTATTTTTTTTAGCAACTTGGAAGCATATATAGCATTCTCGCTGCCATCTTGAATGTTGGAAACATTGAGTTTTCTTCCGTAGCAACTGAGCACCAGGTTGACAAGAGCTACATCTGCAATCACACAGCTCTGGAGAATTGTGAGTTTTGTTATCTTCCGTTTTCAAATCTACACTCTGTTAAAAGTCTCCTACTGCAAGTGTCACAGGAAGATCACTTTAAGCAATTGTTCCCACACAGAATCCTTAAAAAAAAAATACTAGGATTGCATTTGTGTAAAACAAAATTGTAAATGTCCACTACTTAGAGGAGATCCTCCCACGTGTGAACTGATGACTGCAGAATGTGTTTCTGAACATGGAATGTCTATGACTGTGTCAGGAGCTGTTTGCCTGCATGTGAAATCACAGAAAAAACTGGATCAAATTTAGTGAGCTACCATAGGAAAGAATTGAAGTTGTTACCTTGGAATGTTAAGACCCTATATAATTTTTAAAGTAATAAAACTTGAACAGTTTCTTACTGGATGAATTCTGTCTACCCATTCATGCTGAGTTAATTAATGTTTCAGACATTTTCCCACACAACAGAAACACATTATGGGACTCACTTCAAACCAAGTGTGCTCTCAGTAAAAGAGTTAAACCTATGGTTGGCAATTACTTTTAGCATCCTCCAGCGATTTTTTGAACTTTTTTTCTGTTCAGAACATATCCCATCCTTTCATTTTTAATGTCATCATGTGTCCTTAAAGCTTTATATTTATTATAAGTTTTACCCATAACCTTACTATAATGCAAATTTTCAGGTAACTATTTTAAGGATAATTTCAGAGGACCAAATACCAAATCCTTCTGGTCCAGACCTTTTCTTGATATCACTATTGTCTGTACACTGTCTGTACATTGTCTGTACACTATTTTCTGAACACTGAAACCAGTGTGGTAAGACAGAAGAACAGTGGTCTGAGTTGACACAGAGTAAGTGGCATGTACCAGAAAACTAGAAAACACCATATATATTCTACATATATACTATAACTTAATTTGGCATAAAAGATACCAGGTCATCAGAGTTGCAGAGAAGAAACCTAGAACTCCATTGATAACTTTTAATTCTTGCTATCTAATCCTAATTAAAGTTTTATCAGTAGCCCACAGGGTTGAGATCAGGTTGTTTCCCTCAGCTTTCCGTGGGGGTAACAAACAACTAAAGAGGGAAGAAAGGTTTATTTAAACTTTCAGAGGTTGCAGTCGCTGCTCAGTTGGCCCTTGCTTTTGGACCTATGATTAAATAAGACATCATGACAAGAGAGTACATGGTGAAGCAAAGTTGTTCACCTTAAGGGAGCCAAGTAACAAAGAGAGAGGAAGATGATCAGGGTCCCAGGACACACTCTCAGTGCCCCAGATCTCACCTGGTGACAGATCCACCACTTTTCAGTAGTAAGTCTGCTTGATTCATGTAATTTTGACATAGCACAGTCAAAATAATAAATTTTAGCCAGGCACTGATGGCTCACACCTGTAATCCTAGCTACTCAGGGGGCTGAGATCTAAGGATCGGGGTTCAAAGCTAGCCCCAGCAGGAAAGTCCTCGTGAGACTCTTATTTCCAACTAGCCACTAGGAACCAGAAGTGGCGCTGTGGCTCAAAGTAGTAGAGCCCTAAGCTGGCCACTGGTGTCTCACACTTGTAATCCTAGCTACTCAGGAGGCTGAGATCTGAGGATCGCAGTTCAAAGCCAGCCTGGGCAGCAAAATCCGTGAGACTCTATCTCCAATAAACCACCAGAATACTGGAAGTGGTGCTGTGGCTCAAGTGGTAGAGCGCTAGCCTTGAGCTGAAGAGCTGAGGGACAGTGCCCAGGTCCTGAGTAAAAGCCACACAACTGTAAATACATAAATAAATAAATAAACAAACAAACAAAATTTTGAAATCAAAACAAATTTCCAAAACAAAACATTTTACATTTCCACATGTAGCTCAGTTGTCACAGAGAAGCTTCTAGTCCATCCCATTTAATCCTCATTTTGTTTAAATTACTAAGTGATGGGCTGGGAATATGGTTTAGGGGTAGAGTGCTTACATGAAGCCCTCGGTTCAATTCCTCAGTAGCACATAAACAGAAAAGGCCAGAAGTGGCGCTGTGGCTCAAGTGGTAGAGTGCTAGCCTTGAGCAAAAGAAGCTCAGGGACAGTGTCCAGGCCCTGAGTTCAAGTCCCAGAACTGGCTAAATAAAGTACTGAGTGATCTAGGAGTGTTTCTCTGCCCTTAATTTTGTGTAACTATGCCTCCCAAAATGCAAAGCAAAAGTTAGGGAATCCTCTAAGCTCCAGAAGGCAAGCAGTATGCTTAATTTAAGTGAATGTGTTAGATTTGTTGTAAGAAGCATGTCTTTATTGGAAGTTGTTTGATGTTACAATTCAAATAATTCTAATATCTTCATTAATTGAAAGTGATGCTACTACCTTTTCCACTAACCATGCATCTTTTTCTTTTGCAGCTGCTTCTTTGCTTTGCATTCAGGCAGATGAGCTACAAGAAGCTCTCACTTCCCACTGTGTGGTCACTAGAGGAGAGACCATTATAAGACCCAATACTGTAGAGAAAGCTATTGATGTCAGAGACGCCATGGCAAAAACTTTATATGGGCGTCTCTTTAGCTGGATAGTAAATTGCATTAATAGTTTGTTGAAGCATGACATATTTCCAAGGTAAAAACCTTTATATACACTCTTTTCCAAAAGATCATTCAAAGCATCTATTTTGTAACTTTTTAAATTTTTGTAAGTCTTTTTGAAGATATTTTGAGTTCATTTAATTTAATGGTGAAAGTTATATATTTTGCTAGAAATGCTTCATTTCCTAATAGGGTCACTTTACTGTGCCACAGGACAATAGAATTTTGTAATTGATGTAACATAAAAACTGTAGAAATATGAAAAATAACAGGAAGTGATTTGTGTGTGGTTGTGTGTGCCTGTGTGTATGTGTGTGTGTGTATGTGTGCATGTGCATGTGCATGTGAATTCTGGGCCTTGAACTCAGGGCCTAGGCACTGTGCCTGAGTTTTTTTTGTTTTGTTTTGTTTTTGTTTTTTTTTGTTGTTGTTGTTTTTAACTCATGGCTAGCACTCTACCACTTGAGCCAAAGCTCTATATCCAGCTTTTTTGGTAGTTAATTGGAGATACGAGTCACAGATTTTCCTGCCTGGGCTGGCTTCAAGCCAGAACTTCAGATCACAGCCTCCACAATAGTTAGAGTTACAGGTATGAGCCACTAACACCTGGCTAGAAAGTGATTTCTAAATGCAATATCTTACTATCACTATGATGTTTTAATTAGGAGTTTACAACAAAGAAAGTATACATCATTCTATGGCTATCACTTTAGAAATTCTTTTTTTATTTTAGAAGTATAGATTAAATCATGAAGATAAAGGAAAACCTCCTTTTCATGGTTTTGATCTTATTATAAAGGCACATGAAATGTGGTTCAGACACCAGAAAACCGGAAGTGGCGCTGTAGCTCAAGTGGTAGAGCGCTCACCTTGAGCTGAAGAGCTGAGGGACAGCGCCCAGGCCCAGAGTTCAAGCCCCACGACCGACAAAAAAATGTGGTTCAGAAATTCACTAGAGAATGGTGGAGAATAGCGAATGGTACAGCCAAGACATGAACACTAATGATATCTGACTCTAGGTCTGGTGTCTTCCTATACTTCATCTTGGAAATAATATAAATTGGAGCCACCATTGACTGGCTTTGCATAGATATAAATCCTCACATTTATGCTGAAAGATTTGTTCAGCTATAAACTACACGAATTTTAGAAAATTTACATATGGGAAGGCTAGATGAGATATTTACCTCGCAGGTAATCCTATTCACACCTGCTTGAAAAAGACCATTGTACATACATTTTTTTTTGGGGGGGGTCCGGTTGTGGGGCCTGAACTCTGGACCTGGGTGCTGTCCCTCAGCTCTTCAGCTCAAGGCTAGTGCTCTACCACTTGAGCCACAGCGCCACTTCCGGTTTTTTGCTTTTTGCTTATATGGTGCTGAGGAATTGAACCCAGGGCCTCAGGCATGCAAGGCAAGCGCTCTACCACTGAGCCACCTTCCCAGCCACTTGTATGTACGTTTTTTAAACCACAATTCATACGCCACTGGCTTACATCTGTAATCCTAGCTATTCAGGAGACTGAGATCTAAGGATCACGATTAGGAGTCAACCCTGGCAGAAAAGTCTTCAGGAGATTGTTATCACCAATTCATCACTCAAAAACCCAAAGTGGCTTTGTGACTCAAAGTGATGGAGCACTAGCCTTGGGCACTAGATAGAGCACTAGCTCAGGGATGGCACCTAGGCCCTGAGTTCAAGCCCCACAACCAACAAAAAAGATGTAGTTTGCTATTTTTCCACAAATAATTTCCACACCATAGTATCTAGTTAAACTGAGCTCACCCATTATTCTCTACCATGTTCTTAACTCTGTCACTCAAAATTGTTCCTATACCTTTGTGCTCAACAGTCCTATCACAGCTGAGTCAGCAAGTCACAATCCAGTTTAGGATTTAATGATCCTAGGTTTTTTAGTTGTACTTGGTTATCTCGTTGACATCAGACATTCATATGATTTTTTTGGGTATATCGATATTCAACATATGGATATTCCTCATAATGTAAACAAATTTAGAGATTTTTTACCTCACTTTGTTAGGTAGCATCTGCATGCTTACTTAGCTCAATGGCTCCCAACAGAATGATGTGCCGAAAATCCCATAATAGCCTATCTACTAAGTAGTAAAGTTCCATTCTTTATACTATTAAAAACTGTCCAAGTCTTAGACCCAGATTGGAGTCTCTACTTCATCTATTGTTAAATGACAGGTCAGTCACTTTCATTAATGGAGGCCTCTTGAAAACTGCCTATGTCCTTTGCTCCAATTTTTTTTTAAATAGACACATCTATGTATACCCACAAAAACATTACAGAGTTATAACTACAGACCCTTTAAAAGCCAGTAGCAGATTCTGTTCTGAGAATCCCTGAGTTAGATCATCGCAAAGATCTTTCTGAGCTCTAACTCATTATTGTCCAATGAGTTCAGTGTTTATCTCAGTGAAATCCAATGTGGAAAAAGCATTACAAAGGAATATTTTTGACTATGCCAGCATAAACCTTTATGCAGATATCTGACCTCATATAACCACATACATTTATATCCAACTGTTCAAAATAGGAACTTTCAGAAACACATTGCTTGCTTTGTGTCCACCTATCACATCTTCTAAGTATTCCTTCTCTCTTGAGTTTCCAGTCCAGTCACTTCTCCCAAATAAATGCAGAGAGCACCCTTCAGTTTTTAGTGGTCATTTTCAACTCATTTCCCCACAAAACACTGAAGGTGACCTACACTCCCTAAATACTAAATGTTAAGAGGGGCTTTTGTGCTTTCCTTTTTAATGCACATGAAAGTTCTTATCTAAGTATCTAACCTTTAGTGAGCAGAAGTAATGACGTAGAGTAGCAGAAAGAAAATGCATTTGAAATATGTAAGTATAAAATAATATTTATTATACTTTAAACAATGCTCGACAAGAAATGTACTCATTGCCTTACCAGTGTAACTGTAAACTCTGTACAACATCTTTAGAATAAAATAAAATTAAAAAAGAGTGGACAATATAATTATAAGATTCCTTTAAAATAAAAACAATACCAGCACACCAAAAAAATTTAATTAGAAACTAAGTCCCTATTTATGTATATCTCTCTTCAGGTTACCATTAGTTCTAAATTTTTAAAGTTATAAGCAAATAATAAAAAAAATGATTCTTTCAAACAAGAGCTTTTTAGTAAGAATTCTTTTTAATTGCTCTTGTAAGAGGTTAAATGTACTCATTAGCAGAATTTTTTCTTTCTGGTATAGTTTGATTAAATTATAATTGCTGTATTCTGGGTGCCAATTCAGTTGTCCATATAATTTTTGACTGTGAAATATTAATTTTCTTTATGATCTGTGGAGAATGAATTTTTTTGGTTTTTGTTTTATCTTTTGTTTTATGTGTATGTGTCCATACTGGGACTTGATCTCATGGTTCTGTGCTCTCAGTCGGCTTTTTCCACTCAAGGCTGGAACTCTACCACTTAAGCTACAGCTCCACTTCTGGCTTTTTGCTGGTTAATTGGAGACTTTCACAGACTTTTCTCCCTGGGCTGGCTTTGAATGATCCTCATATCTCAGCCTCTTCAATTGTTAGGATTACAAGTGTGAGCCACCAATGCCCAGCAAGGTTTTTTTTTCAATTAAGAGAAATTCACTGTGTGTGTGTGTGTGTGTGTGTGTGTGTGTGTGTGTGTGTGTGTGTGTGTGTGTCCTGGGAGTAGTTTCTTAACTCAATCATAAATGAAACCTCTGAGATACTCTGCTTTGTATTATCCTAAGGAAATAAATAATAATACTGTTTCAATTCTTCTAGTAAGAATGATGATGAGCTGAGCATTGGCATTCTTGATATATTCGGCTTTGAACATTTCAAAAGGAATTCCTTTGAGCAACTGTGCATTAACATTGCAAATGAACAAATTCAGTATTACTTTAATCAACATGTGTTTGCATGGGAACAGGTAAGTCTAGTTACTTAACGTAAAGACCCATGTGTGTATTGTAATGTATAATTATACAAAGTAGTATGTAAACCATAGCTTTAAAGCCTTACACATTAAAAAAAAAAAAAGACCAAAACACCAGGTACTGGTGACTCATGCCTGTATTCCTAGCTACTCAAGAGGCTGAGGCTGAGATATAAAGATCTAGGTTCAAAGCCAGCCTGGACAGGAAATCCCATGTGACTCTGATCTCCGATTAACCACCAAAAAGCTGAAAGTGAAGTTGTGGTTCAAGTGGTAGAACACTAGCCTTGAGTGAAAAAGGTCAGGGAGTTCAAATCCCAACACACACACACACACACACACACACACACACATCTGCCTTTCTCTATACCCACAGTAAAAACGGAAATGAAAGCAAACAAAAAAGCTAGCTTGTTTAGTATGACTCCATTTGAGATGCAAAGAATCCTTCCTTGGAAAACAGTGCGATTTTCTCCAAATTGTAGCAAGTTTAGGTCCTTGAGAATAATGACATTTCCTTTGAAAACTTAAATAAACTAATGTGTCCACCAGTTTTCTCTTTCGGTAGAATGCAGAGCTGAAATTCTTCATGAAATTTCAACATCCATCTAAAATGCATTAAACTTCAGAATTCTTGTAGCTAGGCAACAGAACACCAGATAATGGGTTTGATTCAAGTGCCACGAAACAGTAATTTTGTCAGAGCACAATGTGTAATTTATGATTCAGCTTCAAAAAATATTCTTCCTCTGAGAAGAAAATCAGACTCATTTGAATTCCATTTGGCAAGAAAAAATTGTTATGTGAAGATCATTTAAATTATTTTATTAATTGTACAAGTCATATTTAATATTATTCTGTATGCCATTTGTCACCTAATTATACTATTTCACTTTGTGTTTACTGATTAAAACTGATGTTTTAAGGCTGAGATGAATTAGAGGAACCTAGCTTCCTTGTATTTAAAATCTTCAGTCTTATGGAGAATTTATTTTGAAAATTGTGTTTGGAAAATAGTGGTCACAGAAGAACCCCTCTATACATCATCTTGACAAAAAAAATCAAATTATAAATAAATCTTGGCCTTTCCTACCGGAAAAAAAATGGATAGGGCATAGGCTTAAAGGCTGTTTATCCAGCCTTTCTATGATTCAAATATTACTGATTTCTCCCCTTCTCCTTCTCATCTTCTTCTCTACCTATCCCTTGGTGTCCTCCTACAGCCTTAATACATGATAGAATCCCTTGAAAAGATTAAAAGCAAGCAGTGGAGGAAATTTCTTAAAAACCTTGCTCCAAGCAGGGCACCAGTGGCTCATACCTATAATCCTAGTTACACAGGAGGCTGAGATGAGGATTATGTTCAAAGCCAGCCCTTGTCAAAAAAGTCTGTGAGACTTATCTCCAACTAACCGCCAGAAAACTGGGAAAGGAGCTGTGACTCAAACCATTGGAGCACTAGTTTTGAGCAAAAAAGATCAGTGTCAGTTCTCAGGTTCTGAGTTCAAGCCCCAGGACTGACAAACACGCACACACCTGCCCCACCCCCTCACCTCACACACACACACACACACACACACACACACGTGACACATTTTTGTCAGTCATAAGATTTAAACTCAGGGCCTGGGTGCTGTCCCTCAGCTTTTTTTTTTTTTAGCCAGTCCTGGGGCTTGAACTCAGGGCCTGGGCACTGTCCCTGAACTTCTTTTGCTCAAGGCAAGTGCTCTACCACTACTTTTGGCTTTTTTTTCTGGGGGGGTCCGGTTGTGGGGCCTGAACTCTGGGCCTGGGCGCTGTCCCTCAGCTCTTCAGCTCAAGGCTAGCGCTCTACCACTTGAGTCACAGTGCCACTCCCGGCTTTTTTCTTTTTGCTTATGTGGTGCTGAGGAATCAAACCCAGGGCCTCATGCATGCAAGGCAAGCACTCTACCACTGAGCCATCTTCCCAGCCCCTTGGTTTTTTCTGTCTATGTGGTACTGAGGAATTGAACCCAGGGCCTCATGCATGCTAGGCAAGCACTCTATCACTGAACCACATTCCCAGCCCATCCTGAGCTTTTTCACCCACTTTAAGCTACAGCACCCCTTCCAGCACTAACTTTTATAACTAAGAAATAGCTATTAAAACATCCTCAACTAAAATCACACTGTAAGTACTTTATTAGCCTGAGAATAGGGTGGTTTTATTTTCTCTGTGGTTTGTCCATATTCCATACCACAAGCATCTCTAACAGAAATCCATTGTTTACTAAGTGACTCATTTTTGCTCCATGTGACCTGCCACAAAAGCAGGCAGTGGATTTTGACACAAGCAAATCGCAGTGACAAATGCATCACTTTAGGCCTTAACCTCATGGACTTTCTCTATCAGGCATACAAAAGTTCTCTTGAACTTTGTGGTTTTGATTTCCACTATTATATGCTGTCAGCATACTGTGTCTAACAATAAAACAATTCTATGTTTTCAGACTTCTCTCAAGGTTACCTTCAAATGAAAAGACTGAAACTTCAAGCCATTGCCTTTATTTTCTCATACTGAACAAACTGAACATCTTTCACATTCTCCACTGCTTAGACTAAGGATTCTGATTCTTTTATATGCGTTAGGTTTTGTTTTATTGCAAAAATATAATTTGGAGTCAAATGCCCGTGATTCATACTTGTAGTGCTAGCTACTCAGAAACCTGAGACTTGGAGGATTACCGTTCAAAGCCACTGAGGAAGGAAAAAAGTCCACTAGACTCCATCTCCAATTAGCCAGTAAACATGTGTGTGTGTGTGTGTGTGTGTATGTGTGTGTATAGCATAATATATATAATCTTGAGTTTAATCAACACTTATTTATTTTTTTTCAAATACAGTGTAAACAGGGGTTATACCATGGGGGAAGAACATACAAGAGAAACAAAAAAAAATCACATAGTACATTTTAGATACGTTCAAAACAATAGCAAGAAAGAAAAAACAAGTTTTGTCGCTATCTTGGGGTTCATTTCACTTAACATAATCTTACATGGTCATATGTACATAGCTTTTGGCCTTTTCTGCTTGTCCTTTACTTATTATACTAGTTATTGCAAATAAGGGAAACCATGGGGCCTATGTTTCTTTGGGCCTGGTAACTTCACTTAATATAATTTTTTCCAAGTCTTTCCATTTCTTAGCAAATGGATAATACTTATTTTAATGAACTAGCATTTCTCTGTGTGTGTGCATGTATGTGTACATGTGTATGTATGCATATGGAGGGTATAAATTAGTAATAGAGTATAGGATAGCAGTCTTAGGTTCCTGGCTTCATTTCCCAGTGTGATAAAAAAAATTAAAAATAAACTCTTTTTTCATAACACTCTTGGAATGAGATTTCAGCATAATAAGGCTTCTATCATAGCATTTAAAATTTTTAATTTATCAGATGTCTGGAACTGCAGTTTGCTAAATTCTAAATTTGCAAGAAGCATGCTTTGAGCAATTCTAGCGTACTATAGCTAGCATCTACCATATTTCACCTTGTGTTATCACCCAACTTATATTTGAAACCTGCCGACACATGGAGCTTTTGTGTTTTAAACATCATTTTATCATACACAATGTTGAAGCCTTATAAAAAGTTCATTAAATACATGTTATGAATTAAAGCATATGTAAAAATCATGGTGGCATAGTGTGGGATTGAAACCTATAGAGGACATGCTCCCTGGACCAGCACTTACCCCTATATTTATGAGAGTCTGGGCATGGGGTTTGTTTATCACCTAAAATCCTGGGACACTCCTACACAACTATCACTATTAAGTCCCAGTTCAAAGGTCCTGTGAGTCTTTCCCAGGCTTCAGAACTTGGACAAGGGAACAGTATGAAGGGAAAGTCATAGCAACAAGATAGTAGTCTTCCCCGCCCCGCCGCCCCCCCCCCCCCCCCCCCGCCCCTCAGGTAAATTGTTGACACTGTTAACTACAGTCATGGCCAAAGGGTAAAGATTAACCCTAAGGTGACTCTAATTCATATTCAATACATTTGGGATAGGCTCTTCCAACTTTTTAGTAACAACATATTCTTCAAAACTTGAAATGTTTGGAAATCCAAAACAGAGACTAGAAATTCTTTTAATATTATCTTGATTATAATCAGTGCTGATTTTAATGAATCAGCACTTCTGTGGGAGAAATGTGAAATGGAATGTCATAGAAATGGCAGTGAGAGTCATTTATTATTATGTAGATGATTACTAGCAAACTCAGTACTGCCCACACAGTGTTCAGTGAGCTTCTCCTTTGTTTCCTGGCCTATTCTAGAATGAATACTTGAATGAGGATGTGGATGCTCGAGTTATTGAATATGAAGATAACAGGCCTCTCTTAGATATGTTTCTGCAGAAGCCAATGGGGTTATTGTCTCTACTCGATGAAGAAAGTAGATTTCCCAATGCCACCGACCAGACTCTCATAGGTAAGTTCTAAACCCCATGTGGCTGCACAGTTTATGAATACATTAATGTCATTTTGGATGATTTTTTGTTTTCAATTATCAGTGTGAAAATAGCCATTACAAAGTCTGTATATTTGACTTGAAAAAAGAGACTTTTGATATAATACCTAGACCAGTGAACATTCATTAAAAAATAAAATACTTAGAGCAGGATTAAACAGGATTGTATACTGGATTTCTGTTTACTTTATGGTAGAAACTCAACCATAAAAATCTTAGGTTAAAAAAATAACCTTAGAAAATTTCCAGCCCAGAATTAGAAATTGATAAGCAAAGCAGAAAGATAGCTCTAGAATTTGAAAAGAAGTAGCTAACGGTCCTGGAATAAATCCACCTGTGATGTTCTAACCATTTATTTAACAGAGGCAAATAGCCTCAAATACTTTAATAACCTCCAAGTTTACAGCACACTGATAAGTGCTCATGATAATAATCCTGAGTCATAGCAGGAAGATTTAATATATTCACATTTTTCTGCTTGAGAAGGCAAAGATGTGTATAATGTATTTAAGGAGATTATCATCCCAAAATATTTATAATGGAAAGTTCTCTTAAATTTAAGAAGGAAAAAAACTTTGGAGTTTTCAAGTCACTGAAAAAGTCATAATTTAACATGCAACACTATCTCCTGCTGATGGAAGAGATCTATCCTGGATAACAAGTACTTGAAAAAATGTGGATTCACTTTCTTTTTTTCCTTATTTCCTTTGGTGATACACAGAGCCTGTTTCTCAGTGTTTGTGTTGTTGCTCCCTCCAGACCCTCTTAATTGTCTTATGCTGTCCTCTGAGTAGACAGGAATAGATGGAAAAGAAAATAACACCAAAGTTGTGAGGAAAATCATTTCATAGCAGACACTTGGAATCAAAATGTTCCCTCTAAGGATAAGGAATAACAAGTTCTCTGAATATGTAAAAATCATTAGAGAAACTTAACTGTCTTTATGATCTGATTTTGCTTCTTATGTAACCAAAACAGCCGTGAATTCTGGCTCCTTCCTCAGACACACTCAGCCAGAACCTCAAGGTGGAGACCCACAGACTCGGGCTGGCTCTGATCCACACTAAGATTTGAGAATAGGAGCTGCACACTGGTGGTTTACACTCATAATCCTACTTAGTTAGGAGACTGAGATCTAAGGATCTGGGTTCAAAGCCAGCCCAGGAGGAAAGTCTATGAGACAGTTATCTTCAATTAACCAGCAAAAATAAAAATAAAAAACAGAAGTCAAGATGGGTCTCAAGTAGTAGATCACTACCCTTGAAAGAAAAGCTATGGGACAGCTCCCAGGCCCTAAATGCAAGCCCCAGCACCAGTACCAAAAAAATTAAAATGTAAATCAGACTACAGTGGTAAAAATTGACTAATCTCAATAACCTCTGAAGACCTTCTACAGTGCTTAGTACTGGAATTCAACTTTCCTTCTACAGAAAAATTTGAAGGTAACCTGAAATCACAATACTTTTGGAGACCTAAAAGAATGGAACTTAGTTTTGGAATTCACCATTATGCAGGAAAGGTAAGAACTGTTAAGAAGTATGACGGAGTTTCTCCTTAATAGCTCATCCAATAATAAGATAGACATGGTGGTTATGCTGAGACGGCCATCTTCTTCCACTCCCATCTGATCCCATCCCTGATGACCAGTATTCTACTATCTGCCTAGCCTGGCTAACCACTCAGTTTGGAGACTGCTCATTCTGTAACACACACAAATACCATCATCCATCCTGAAAGGGTTTACAATATATCCCTCTTTTACTTCATTAAACATTAAAAGTTAGCGTTGCTGGGCACCAGTGGCTCATGCTTGTAATCCTAGTTACTCAAGAAGCTGAGGTCTAAGGATCACAGTTTAAAGCCAACCTCAGGCAGAAAAGTCTGTGGGACTCATCAAGTGAAGGTTTGGCTCAAGTGGGAAAGCACAAAATTTGACTGAAAAAGCCAAAAAAAATTAGTATCAAGCCCTGAGTTTAAGCCCCAGTACTAGCAATAAATAAAGTAAGTAAGTAAATAAGTTGGACTTTCTGGGGGGAAATCTCATTTTAAAAAACATCAAAGAAAAAGAAGAAAGAAAAGAAATAGCCAAGTCCATGTTTATGATCATAAGATCCAATTGTGAGTGATAGCTGGCAATGGTTACGCTTATTTTTTTCCATCTTTTTTTGAATAATAGCTGAGAACATTAGAAACTACCCTTTTCAGACTCAAATGTCTCTCTCTACTACAGCCATGTTCCTCCTCCCTCCCATTTAGAGATGGGGCCAGGCTGTAGCTATGGTCACTATGGTCACTTAGCTGAGCCACTCCACATAGACTTGGATGGATCTGGCTAATAGAGTGTTACAGTGTTGAAGGAAGAAATGTTCATGCATTGAGAGACATCTGCACCCCCAAGCAAGCCTCAGATAAGTGCTCATGCACCCACAGGATGCCTTCCTCCCACCTTCTCTGACAATGACATCATAAACATTAGGGGACTACAAAGATGTTCAAATCAGGATATAATATATAAAGTGAGAGCAACATTAAAAAATAAGTGAAATAACTCAAAATCTCTTGCATGTTAGTACATATGGAAAGCAATGGTCCACTGACTTTTGTTATTAAAACATACACCTTAAGTTATTTCAACCATAACCTCTCTCATAATATTTTAGCGTATGACTTTCCAAAGAAAGCCTCTTCCTTTAATTATCCATTAATTCTTTATGGGCAACCTGTTGACACCTGTAATCCTAGCTACTCAGGAGGCTGAGATCCAGAAGATCAAAGTTCAACAGCAGCTTGTGAAGAAAAGTCTGTGAGATTCCATCTACAAAATAGCAAAAAGACAACTACAACTAGCAAAAAGACAGGCTGGATGTGTGGTTCAAGTGGTATGGCACTGGCTGAGCAAGCTAGCTGGGCATTTCCCAAAGCCCTGAGCTTGAACCCCAGCAATAGCCCCCAAAAAGAAAAATTTAAGCTATAATCGTTTTATCCCATTGTTTTTAACAAATCTGTTACTAAGCTTTAATACAAAAATAGCACTGGGTGCTTGGCTTAAACAACAGAAATTTCTTTTCTGTTCTGTTCTTTTCAGACCTAGAGGGTGGAAGTTCAAGGTCAAGGTGACCCTGATGGTGTCTGATGAGGCCTCTCCTCCTGACTTTTAGACAACTGAAGTATTGCTGAGTCTAAATGGCCCTGTCTCACTATAGACACAGAGCATTTTTATGTGAATTTTGGGACCCATAACAATAACCATATTGGATAATCCTTTAGAAATCATTGATAACATACAACTTTAAACGCTCTTAAAATTATTTAGAAGTGCTGGAATACAAATGCATAGGGTTTAGACTCCACTGCTAAGATAAAGAAAATGTCAAGGCCAATTTAATACAAGTGAATCATTTACCCTAAAAATAGGAATGCTTCTTTTATGTGGCTCAACTTTCCCAATAAGAAAAGGAACATAGCAAATTCCCAAGTGATGACAACAATCAGATCACTTTGGTCATATAAATACAAATGCCTCCTGATTAACTGAGATTACAGGCTTATGCCACTACTCTCAGCTTGTGTTTTGAGATAGGATCTCACCAACAGTTTTTTTGCCTAGGCTGGCCTTGAACCTCCCCACCTTCACCTCCGAAGTAACTAGGATTATAGGTATAGACCATCATACTGGTTCCTGAGAGGGTCATCTTCAAATTACATTGAAAGGAATTACCTCTGTGATGTTTGTGCCTATATTGCCAAGCATAGACTAAGTTTTCATTAAATCAGCTCTGGTACCACTATGATCATTACAACAGCATCCTTTATCAACAGGTCCTCTATAGTGCGAGTGGCTTCTTAGCCAAAAATAGGGATACTCTTCCAACTGATATTGTACTACTTTTGAGATCATCAGAAAACAGTGTGATTCGTCAACTTGTCAGCCACCCTCTGACCAAAACAGGTAAGGCAATCTCCTTTAACTAAAGAAGGATCCTCAGATCCTCATCAAATAGTATTTCTCTCTCTGGTTTTCATGACCAGAATCTTCAATTCATTGGTTCCTTTTCAACCCATGAAATATTCATTTATTCATAACCTACATTGATATGAATATTAATGCCCCAGATCATTTGAGAGTAATACCAAAATAAATATAAAGTACCTGGATAATAATTAATGAAAAGTGATTGAGGCACTCACCAGAAAACATGACAGTCTCCATGCTAATACTAAAACAGGTTCATCCTTCTCAAAAGATTTTAGATTTACCTACTATTTTTCTGGCATGACCAACCTCCAGAGGATTCCTCAAGATTCTGAAAGTTTACCTTGCTGACTCATTGATTAAAAATGCACATGAGTTCTGAGTGCTAGTGGCTCATGCCTATAATCCTAGCTACTCAGAAGGTTGAGATCTGAAGATCATAGTTTAAAGCCAGACCAGAAAGGAAAGTCTGAAGGACTCTTATCTTCAATTAACCAGCAAAAAAAACAGAAATGGAGTTGTAGCTCAAAGTAGTAGAGCACTAGCATTAAGCAGAAATGCTTAGGGATAGCACCCTGGCCCTGAATTCAAGCCCCACGACTATCCAAAAAAAACAAAAACTCACATGATTTTGTTACATCCCACTGTACCTCGCCTGTTTTTCCATTTACATAGAAAAACATAGCTTGGGTTTATTTTTTTTCCTGGAGTTTAAACTACTCTTTGTACTTTTAAAAATAACTTTAATGTGATACAAATGAAACCTATAAGCAGTAAAATTTGATGATTTTCAAATATGTAAACTGATTTTAGAGACGGGATGGTGTGACATTATATGTTCAGCTGTTTCTCCTACCATGTTCTGCTGGTATGTTGGGAACTGGCTCAGGAGCCCAAGTTCCTTAGTTCTTCATATGCTACCTCCATTTTTCCAAATGAACCATGGTCACTTTCCTACATAGCTTCGAAGATGGACTATAGATCAGCTGTTAATCAAAGGGAAAATGTACCACAGTTGCTTGCTGCTGTGGAACTGTGGTACAGTAGTATAGAAGTACCTGTGTCTGTGGTACAGATGCTGCGATTTTTCAGAGTTTTGTTCATCAGATCAAGGATTCAAACAAAGTTTGAGTATTTTCTGATGTTAGAATCTGTGCTGATTTTAGTCCCTATTGATCAGAGTAGATTAATTTTTTAAATACTTTTGTGCTGAGCACAATGGCATACACTTGTAATCCCAGCTGTTCAGGAGGTAGAGATCAGGAGGATTGTGGTTTGAGGGTAGCCAGAACAAAAAGTTTGCAAGATCCCATCTCAACCATTAAAGCTAGACTTGCTAGTGTACATCTGATTTATGTGGGAGTTATAAATAGAAGAGTCATGGGTTCAGGATAGCCTAGACAAAATTGTAAGGTCCTATTCCAAAACATAATGAAAGCAAAAACGTCTGGAGGTTATGACTCAAGTGGTTCTAACTCAAAGTACTGAGCAAATGTAAAGCTCTGAGTTAAAACCTCAGGACTACCAAACACAAGCTAAAAGGATTTTTTATTTTGTTGTCAAGTAATGGGATGACTGGTATCTAAATTTTGTCAAAGTGAAAATATTAATCTATTACTCAGTTCCCTCTGGTCTTTTAGTTTTCAGAAAAACTTAAAATTTGAATTATATGCTTCATGTGAAGTAATGGGTCTAACATTATTAATGTCCCTAGCACTGTATATTTATCATCCTTCTGAACAATCTGAAAGCCTGTGATAATTTCTCCCAATTAAAGTCTTTTTTTCTACAACCTTCTCTGATAACTGACCAAAACAAATAAATAAAATAAAATAAAATTCCTGAAGCTGCCACTCTGAAAAAAAATCTGTTTTTAACACTGTACATCTTTGAAAAGTGGCCAGAGCAATGGGTATTTTCAGTCCAACATGAAAACCATTACACACCAATCTCAGCCCTTCTTCCAAAATAAGGAAGGAATGGAAAGGAAGAAGATCAGAGGACCTGTCAGTCACATTCCAGAGTTCCTCATCACCTCTGGGGCCAGCCAATGGAAATAATTAAGATTAGCAAAGATTTGTTAAAAAAAAAAATAAATAAATAAACCTTGAGCTCCTAGCTATTGCCTCAGAGAAGGAAATGAGATGAAAAATAATCTTTCTAAACTTCAGAACTATTTTTTGAATAGTACTATTGGGCAGTATACCTCTGGATTGTTGGGTGGGAAGATTGACTAGGCAAAGTTCTGTGAGATGTCATCATTATCCATATTTTCAACTACAGATCAAGAACTAAGTAACAGATCCAGTGGCAACAGAACTATGGCAGGTGCAATTCAAATGCAAATCTTTCGGCCTTCCAACACTATGGTTTTGTTGTGTACATTTGTGTGGTCTCTCAAACAAAGCACCCATTTTTGAATGTCGAGTTGAATATACACATTGCCCTCAACCACACTGGATTTTCCTGTGAGCACCTCACATGAAATCATAATGTTTCTCGGGATCTTTGTAAATCTTGAGTTAAAGAAAAAAAAAATAAACTCGGGTGTCATTTAACACCAAAGAACAAGAAGCAAGTTGCTCCCTTTATGATAATCTCATCTCTTTTCCCAAATGACAGGAAATTCAACTCTTACTACTGCCTTTTCTATTTCCCAAACTAAAGATGTTTTCTTATGAATGCAAGATTTTTTTTTTTTTGTAAATTTTCACACAACATTATCTTACCACTATCTCAATAAAAAGGTATCCAAGCATCTGAGTCTTAACTATCCAAGATTAATAGTGGTTATTTTAAGTAAATGGGAGAGAATCATCTAGCCATTAAAGATTCTAAAGATAATTTTATCTACTATCCTATAGGTAATCTGCCACTTTCTAAAACTAAAAATGTAATAAACTATCAAATGAAGACTTTGGAAAAGTCAATGAACCAGATAAAGGTAAGAAAATGCACTTGTTATAGTGGTAAGTCTAGAATCAAAATTGACACATTCTTAAAAGTAAATAGCTTCTCCTTAATTTTTCTCCTATTGGGCACTTCTATTTAAATAGGTATTTGTTATTCATATGGCTGCTAGTGGCCAAGAGAATCATGCATTTCTGCTATATTCCTAACTCTTATAGCTAGTTTTAAATGTTACATCATGACTAAGATTAAAAAAAATCATATTCTAGACAAGACCAATCTAAAACACCAGTGCTGAGCCAGGGACCAGTGGCTCATGCCTGTAGCACTAGCTACTCAGGTGGCTGAGATTTAAGGATTATGATTAGAAGGCAACCCAGCAATAAAGTGTGTGAAGTTCTTCTCTCCAATTAAACACCACAAAAGCTGGAAATGGAGCTGTGGCTCAAGTAGTTAGAGCACTAGCCTTGAGGGGAAAAAAGCCCAGGGACAGTGCCCAGCCCTAAGTTCAAGCCCCAACACTGGCACCAAGAACAAAAAAAATGCAACTAATAAAACAATTAGACAATTACCTTAAGTACAGATCGAGGATACATTTGGCTTTATGTATTTAAGGTGTATAGGCTAAGTGTAAAGGAAAATGCTATGTGCTACATATCTGTCCTAAAGCCCTCAAGTCCTGAGACCTCACTGTCTTCCTTGGTCTCCTTAGGGTGAAATTGAAGAAGCCACCCATCATGCCTGTGAAACCACCAACATGAAAACACAAACAGTTGCATCGTATTTTAGAGTAAGATGTTAAATTATGATGTGTTGTGCTTCGTGGTGTAATCCTTCTAAATGAGTTACACATCAAAACTTGGTAACAAACATCAGGGTGCCATTATCAAAGAGAATAATTGTAGCCATCCACCAGGTGTGACATGCAGAATCTATTAGAATGCACTAGCAAACATCTACAGATTGGTTCATCTTGATATTTTACTCATAAAAACACCGTGTCCCATGATAATCTTAACAGAAATGTATGCCTCCATTAAAATATGTCCCACAGATCCAAATGCATTTCACTCAAATAAATCCTAAAGAGATCTTTAATGCATCTGTGATAGCTACCAGCTCTCCTTCCCCTTACGAATGATTTTTAGGATAGGTGTGGGAGTTAAAGGTTAAGCATCCATCACCAGTCTAGACCTCTTTGCACACCCTCTGGAGACAAATAGAAGGTGATATATGAATGGAGAGGAAAGCCAATCATCAGAGGTACAGTAACACCAAAGCAGCCACACAGCATACATAGGACCTTTACTTCCTTAGTCAAGATGGGAGAAAGGAAAAGAAAGAAGCACTTCCTTTCCTCTGTGCTCTGGAGAACTCTAGATGACCCTCTCTTGGGATTGGTTTCTTGTTTACCTCTTTGTATAAAATTATATTGGCCAGGCAATAAAAACGAAGAAAATCCCACCTACTACTTGGTAGTTTTTACCAATATAATTTAAAAGGATGAGGGAATAAACTTACTATACATACTCAATGACCATATCCAGTTCTCTGTAGAATCACTAAGTACTTTTTAAGTGATCTGAAGAGTGGTGTTAAATACCCTTTAACCCTAAACTCATAGTACAGTATGCTCAATCTTCCTTGTGTAGTGCTTATACATTTATATACTTAATATCCTATGTTGGTAGCTGATCAATTGGTTTTTTTAATAGCAGGAGGCAGCACAGAGAAATCCCTAAAGAATTTATAGTCAGATTACTTTGGACTTTTGTTTTTGTTTTGTTTTTATGCTAGTTCTTGAACTCAGTACTGGCTCTGTCCCTGAACTTTTTTGCTCAAGGATAACACTCTACCACTTGAGCCACAGTTCCATTTCCAGCTTTTTTTTTTTGATGGTGGTGATTAATTATAGAGAAGAATCTCATGGACTTTCCTGCCTAGGCTGGCTTTGAAATGCAGTCCTCAGATCTAGGCCTTCTGTGTAGCTAGAATTACAGGCACGAGCCATTGGTACTCTACTATCACACCCTGTTGGTCACATCAGACATTGTATGTTCACCAGATCAACTCATAAAATCATTTTAATCCTCAAGTGAACGTTAATTATGGAAGAAGACAACTTAGTGTGCAATGTATTTTTTTAAGCTATTTTTCATCCTACAGACAGGAAGCAACATAGGTAACAGCTTCAATTCCTAAGAAAATCCAAAATCAGTGCCTAAATTGCAGTAAGGTCTAAAAGAAAGCCATATCACCTTTGGATCTCCAATGCCTGGCAGATGTTTGCATGAGTAAAGGAATGATGGCGGGGATGACTCAAAGACAGATGTGATGAAAAGAGTCTCCAGAGGGGCAGACCCCAGCTGTTTGGAAGATCACATCTGAGTTTCATCACATGCAAAGTCAAGTGCTTTGTTGTCCAATTTCAAGATTTGCTTTGGGTTGGCTATGTGACTGTAGATTTCCAACAATAAAAGAGATGCAGTCTTCACAGCTGTGTGTAACTGCACATTGCTTCACCAACCTATTGAGACCCTGGGTCTTTGAGATACTAGTCTGTGGGATTACACTTTTAATGAGCTACAAATGCAAGACAATGGCTCTTTTCAAGTTTCCCAGCTACTGTTTTAATAAGGTGCTGTGCAGAACACAGTTTTGATATCTATATTAATTTTTAAAATGCTCTTAAGTAAGATAATGATCAAACTAAAGCACACAGAATACTTGAGTGGCTCTCACTTGCTTCTTTGTATTATCTATGTCTAACATATTAAACTAAGTTAACCTCTCTTTAGTTTAAACCATATGAGTCTATAACATGTTTACTTTTTATACTTTCTCTGAAAGGGGAGTTGGACAAGGAAATTAGTATGAAAACTGGATTAACCAAATTGTGTGCCTAAATATTGTCATACAGTAACCTTTTGCTTGAGAGTTTAAAACTACAAACTACATCAGAAATAACCTTTCTTATCTGATACTCAAAATTTCCTTAAGAGGTTTATAGGTTTGTTCTTAATAGATAAGTTCCTAGTTAGTCTTTTGTCATTTTATAAGTAAATCTGTAATTTTTTGAATATACTATAAGAAAAATCTGATATTCATTTGGATTTCCCTCCATTTGAAACAATTGTATTTTAAATGTTAACCTTGTAGTAGAAAGATTAACCTGCAGGCTCCTAAGTTTTTGTTTGCTACACTAGAAATTTTATTTATTTGTTTGTTTGTTTGTTTATTTATTTACTGCTGATTATAGTACTCCTTGATGGATTTATTGTCTAAAATGGTAGTGGGCCAGCCTCATTTTGTCCGCTGCATCAAACCCAATAATGAGCGTCAGGCGAGAAAATTTGACAGAGAGAAAGTTCTGCTACAGCTTCGTTGCACGGGCATTCTGGAAACTGCAAGAATCCGGAGGCTGGGATATTCTCATCGGATATTATTTGCTAATTTTATAAAGCGGTATGTGGATTTCTTTATTTAAGCTTTTATTATACCATTTCCATAAAAATTCCCCAGTTGTATTGAGAAGGGGTAATGAAGGAAAGGAGCGTAATAGAGGGGGTGAGAAGCGTTGGAATACATTACACATATATGTGCAATCCTCCACTGTGTAACTAATACGAGTTGATTCAAAATTCTTCAGAACAATGATAGAAAGCAAAATAAGGCAAGAATTATTGGGATGGACTAAGTGAGTTAAATTTAGGAAAAGAGAGTCTTCAATTCCAGGCTAACTCATATATTCAAATGTCAGCATGCTCTTACAGTATGGACCACAAGGAGAACTAAATGTATTGTGTTGATGTGCTGTAGTTGAAAGTAACTTATTTATTTAGAAAGTCAGAAATGAGAATACATTCTTAAAATTCAAGGTCTGAAATTATTACAGAATAGCAAATTACGACATAATAAATGAAGAGGAAGAAGACCTATATATGTAGAAAACATGTGGGCTGCTGTTCTGAAATTCCAGAAACAAAAGGCTAAACCTCTTTACTGTCACTAATTTGAAAGCAGTCATGCAAATTGGCTTAGACTATTAGGAATATAGGACAATTTGCGAAGGTTTTGTAGGAGTGTAAATAGGACTTAAATAATTCTCCTCTGTCCTGCCTTAGTATTAACTAACCCTTTTCATAGGGTGAAAAATTCCTCTTGCTTTTTGTCTATCCCTTTATAAACTCTGTTTTGTGGTAAGAAAGCTATGTTAAGAGAAGATATGCAGTATGAACTTACTTTGCACAAAACATTAAGGTATATTAAGCCAAATTTTAATCACTCTAACAAATACCTTGTGTTAGTCACTGGTGGCTCACTCCTGTAATCCTAGCTACTCTGGAGACTGAGATCTAAGGATCATGGCTCAAAGCCAGCCTGGGCAGGAAAGTCTGAGAGACTCTTTTATTTCCAATAAATCAATCAAAAAATGTCAGAAGTGACGCTGTGGCTTAAGTGGTATAGCACTAGCTTTGAGCAAAAGAAGCTCGGGGGACAGTACCCAGGCCCTGAGTTCAAGCCCATGGACTGACAGAAGAAAAGAAAGAGAAAGAGAATGGGACAGGCAGTTGAAAGAGGGAGGGAGAGAAAGTGTGTGTTTTTAGCACACAGTTTTAAAGTTCTAGTCCATGATTGGTTAGCCCTATTGCTCTGGGGGCTATGGCAATACATCATTTTATGTGGCATAGCAAAACCACTCCCCTCTTTGGGAGCCAGGGAGCAAAGATAAGAAGGAAAAGAAGGGACACCATCCCAACATTCCCTTCAAGGGCACAGCCCCAATGACCTGAACATTTCCCAATAGGTTCCGCCACTTCCCAGTGGTACCACCGATGGAACAAATCTTCAAAATTTAGGCCACTGAGGACCATTGAAGATCTAAACCATAGCCTGAGGTTTTATTGTAGTTATTTCACATGAACCCTAAAACTAAGAATCTACTGGCAAACTCTCCTTTCCACTAGGTACCTCTGCACAAGGGTTTTATTCTCAGAGCTTGCGTTTAAGCAAGAGCTTACTGATACAGAATAATGGAATTAATTAAGTACCTTGAAGTCAGCAACCCTAGGTTTAAAGCTCCTTCAAAGTTCTTTGATTTCTATACATTTCAAGCTTTATTTTCCCTAACTTGAAAATAGAAATAGTAATCATAATATCCACTTTTTGTGCATTTATGAGCACTGAGATAATATATCTATAGATGAAGTTTATGGATACAAACAAATACCATAAAAGTGCTATTTAAGCCCAGTGCCAGTGGTTCATGCCTGTAATCTTAGCCACTCAGGAGTCTGAGATCTGAGGATCACAGTTCAAAACCAGCCCCAGGCAGAAAAGTACATGAGATTCTTATCTCCAATTAATCGTAGAAAAGGCTGGAAGTGGTGCTGTGGTTCAAGTGTTAGAGCTCTAGGAGCAAAAGGAGATCTAAGACGGGGCCCAGGCCCAGAATTCAAGCCTCAGGACCAGCATTTAAAAAAAATGCTATGTAAGGAATTAGTGTGATTTTTCCAAAGCTTACAGAGGTGAAGGCTGCAGTTCAACTATCCTGCATTTCACTGTAAAATTTCAAAACCTACCAATACTTGCTACTTTCTTTCCACTGGACTTTCAGATTAATCTCACCCCAAGACATCAAGTAAAAGTAAGGGAGTATTGAAAACTCTAGAAATCTGTCTTTTTGCACAAGTCTGTTCACAAGATAAACCAGCTTTTGTTCTTTTCATTCTCCTCCTTCCCGATTAATGTTGTTGTTCAGCTTGAAGCCCTTATGACTCTTTTCTCTTTCTCTCAAAGACTGATGGATTAAACCAAGAGTATTCCTCTCAGTATTCCTCAAAGAAAAACAGTGTTGGACAATATGTATTGAGTCGTGGGGAGGTAGAAATAAACCCTTTTGTCCAGTTTTTTTGTTTGTTTTTGTTGTTGTTGTTGTTTGTCAGTTGTGGGCCTGAACTCTGGGCCTGGGTGCTTTCCTTCAGCTGTTCAGCTCAAGACTAGCGCTCTACCACTTGAACCACAGCACTACTTCTGGCTTTTTCTGCTTATGTGGTGCTGAGGAATCAAACCCAGGACCTCATGTATGCAAGGCAAGCACTCTACCACTGAGCCACCTTCCCAGCCCCTCTTTGCCCAGTTTTAAGGTCAGTTTTCAATGTTTTTGAGAACATAATAAAAAATAAAACTTCTTCCTCTACTTCTGTCACTGAAATCCTTCTGCTTTTAATGCTCAGAGAAAGAAAGATTCCTTTAACTTTTAAAGTTGGTAGTTTTGGTCATGTGTTTTTTTGTTTGTTTGTTTGGATTTTGGTTTTGTAGGACAGTTTTTGTGGGGTATTTCTGCACTGAAAAATTAATCACAATGGTGAAAAATCCATATATATTGATTTATATTTATGTATTTGTATACAATATTTATGTTTATAATTTAGACTGATCTATTGATCTTAAATTTATAGCCCTGAGGAATTGGTCTAGTCTAGAGTAAGCCAAAGGATTCCTTGCATTAAGTATAGTAGTCTTGGGCTGGGACTGTAATATAGAGACACAGGGAGTACTTTTCTAGCAAGCATGAGACCCTAGGTTCCATACCTAGCACCACCTACAAACACATACACACACACACACACACACACACACACACACACACACACACACACATACTCAAAACATCTGGAGTCTCCTCCTCTCTCCAAGACAAAGCTATAAGAGGAGTGACCACCAGACTCTGAGATGTTGGGCCATTGTATGATATTAACCAGAACTTTTCCCCACTTCCAGGTACTATGTTCTCTCCTACAAGTCAAGTGAAGAGCCCCCAGTGAGCCCAGATACCTGTGCCACCATTTTGGAAAAAGCTGGTCTTGATAATTGGGCTCTTGGAAAAACAAAAGTAAAATATTTTCATGTAATTTTCATGGGTTTTAAAAATGAACAATTATATTTGATTTACTGAGACATTACAAAGATACATATTATATTCATTTTATAGTCTTTTAGATGTTCTCAAAGATTAATTCCATCAAGCTATATTCTCATCATTTATGGCTGGAAACAGATGCTTAACTTAAAATGGAGTTTTAACTTGTAAAAGGCCTTTTGCTATTCCGGTTCTGCATGGTATTTGAGTAGCATTTTAAAGCTGTTTGTATTTTTCCACTTCACCTTTCCAACTCATTAACATGGATAGAAGTATTTAATATAAGAATATTCTTAATGCTGTGCAAAAGAAATGATGACCTTTTTAAACAGATTGAATTTTAAATGAATTGTCAACAGCAGAATAGACTAAATATATTAATATCTAGGGTCCTGTAGAAATTAAAACTGAATTCAATCAAAATCCATAACACTGAACTATTTGCCAATGGTGCCAGCCTTTCATTTACAGTGGAAGGCCAAGAGAAATCTGCAGTCAAGGCTTACAAGGTCTCATAGTCAGTCCTAAAATTTGAATTTAAGTGACCTTCAGATTGGATTCAATAAGCTCTTCAGGTGGTTTTTACCAGTCAATTTTTCCACAAAGAGAAAAAGACCCTTCTTATTTCCTTAGAGGCTACAATGAAGTTAACAGACTTTTAGATTTTTTCTCAATTTCATAATGGTTTTTACAGTGATCCAAAGTCAACCTTCCTTTCTCCAAGGTAGCTTTTGAGTCTATTACAATCTGCCTTACTCTTCCAGCAACCACACCTAAATCCTCAAAGAGAGTCTCCTGTCTTACGCATCCTGGCCTCCCCAGAAGAAGAATACACATGTTCTGACTCAGTCAATGTTTGTTGAATGAACTAATACAATTATAATTACCCTCCATCTTACAGATAGGTTTGTAAGGTTTTTAAATTTGGAGAATATCACTGAATTGAAAGTGATAAGTGTGCCAGGTGCCGATGGCTCAAGTTTATAATCCTAACTACTCAAGAGATTGAGATCTATGGAACTCAGTTCAAAGCAGC